ATTGGATACAAAGAAGTGATTTTGTAGTGGAGTGTAATATTTGTCATAACAATGTATGTCTTTCTGTTGAAGATTATCTGGATGTTCATATAAGAAAAATACATTTGGACAAATTGAAAGATACACAAGAAACACACGACAAAGTTGGTTCGTCAGAACGCGTTTCATCACTTGAAACGGACACAATATCATTAAATATTGCAACTAAAGAGCATCTATGGAAATATTATGTAAAATTACCGGATTTTAAAGCACAGTGCAAAATTTGCGAAAATAAATATAGTTATTTAAACTATGGAAGCTTTAAAATACATATAACAAAACATCATAAAAAAATTTGGAAATACGAAGAAGGGAGAAAACTAAAATGGCCATGGATGTATTTCAAGTATTCAAACGAATTATATTCACAGTGTATTATATGTAATGCAAATGTTCTGTCTACATCTGAATTTGCAGAAAATCACCTGAGTTTGCATTCTAAAGAACAACAGGAGAATTATATACTTCGAGTTTGGCCACAGAAATATTGGATACAAAGAAGTGATTTTGTAGTGGAGTGTAATATTTGTCATAACAATGTATGTCTTTCTGTTGAAGGTTATCTGAATGTTCATATAAGAAAAATACATTTGGACAAATCGAAAGATACACAAGAAACACACGACAAAGTTGGTTCGTCAGAACGCGTTTCATCACTTGAAACGGACACAATATCATTAAATATTGCAACTAAAGAGCATCTATGGAAATATTATGTAAAATTACCGGATTTTAAAGCACAGTGCAAATTTTGCGAAAATAAATATAGTTATATAAACTATGGAAGCTTTAAAAATCATATAACAAAACATCATAAAAAAATTTGGAAATACGAAGAAGGGAGAAAACTAAAATGGCCATGGATGTATTTCAAGTATTCAAACGAATTATATTCACAGTGTATTATCTGTGATACAAATGTTCTGTCTACATCCGAATCCGTAGAAAATCACTTGAATTCGCATTCTGAACAACAACGGGAGAATCATATACTTCGAGTTTGGCAACAGAAATATTGGACACAAAGAAGTGATTTTGTAGTAAAGTGTAATATTTGTCATAAAAACTTATCTCTTTCTGTTAAAAATCTGGATGTTCATACAAGAAAAATACATTCGGACAAATTGAAAAATATGCGAGAAACACATGACACAGTTGGTTTGTCAGAACGTGTTTCATCACTTGAAACGGACACAATGTCATTAAATATTGCAACTAAAGAACATCTATGGAAATATTATGTAAAATTGCCAGATTTTAAAGCACAGTGCAAGTTTTGCAAAAATCAATATAATTATATATTGTTTGGAAACTTTAAAATACATATAACAAAACATCATAAAAAAATTAGGAATTACGAAGAAGAGAGAAAACTAAAATGGCCATGGATGTATTTCAAGTATTCAAACGAATTATATTCACAATGTATTATATGTGATGCAAATGTTCTGTCTACATCTGAATCTGCAGAAAATCACTTGAATTCGCATTCTGAAGAACAACGGGAGAATCATATACTTCGAGTTTGGTCACAGAAATATTGGATACAAAGAAGTGATTTTGTAGTTGAGTGTAATATTTGTCATAACAATGTATGTTTCTCTAGTAATGGTTATCTGGATGTTCATACAAGAAAAATACATTTGGACAAATTGAAATATACACAAGAAACACACGACAAAATTGGTTCGTCAGAACGCGTTTCATCACTTGAAACGGACACAATGTCTATGTCACTAAAAGATTGTTATGTATTGTTAACGAGATGTTCAATTTCTAATCTTTACATGTAAAAAATGCATCAAAAAATTTTTAATTTGTAAGAAAAATATCGAAATTTACACGGATCATCAAGAATATATTTTACACATTTTAATTCATTGGCGTGAAATGCATTATTTGTAATGAGAATGTTTTATTTTTATCTAAAAGTTCAAAAGATCACTTACTCGCATTCTAAAAAACAATTAAAAAAACATACATTTCAGAGTTGGCTATATGGGAATACATACCAAAAGTCATGATTTTGAAGTAGAGTATAATATTTATCACAGAAGCATATCTGTTGCTATTAGAACTCATTTCAATAACCATATTAAAGATGAACATCATTTGGCAAGCCAACTAAGCTGAATAACAAAATGGCAGTAAGTTTTATTGATGTTAATATGTATAATTAATTTTTCATCTTTTTCAAATCGCGTTTAATTTATTAAAAATATACAATATAATGATCACAGCAAAACTACATAATTTCTTTTTTTATGTGAATATTATAATATTGTTTATATAGATTTATCCTTCCCCAGAAGTTGACAATAGAAATGATGGCGTCATGATAAGTAGCATCACAATCAGCAGTAATAGCAGTCTTGATTTTGACGATTTTAGTTTACTAAAAGATATATACAAGAAAAGTAACCTATATAGTTTTGACGTATAATTATTTGTTTTATGTTTATAAAATTATGAATATGATTATAAATCTACGTTTTATAGAAAAGAAAGTTGTATTTTTTTAATTTACTAACTATAATTATAAATTTTATTATTTGTACTATGTTTTAAATTTATAAAATATATTCTTAATTTTATTTACTAAAACGATTTAATGAAATAATCATCGACTTCTCTGTAAAGAGAAAAATACTGACAATTTATACTATAATTTAATTTCAAACATTTAATTTTTATATAATTTTTTAATATTTTTACGTATGTTTATATATTTTTATTATTTTTTGTATTTTATATAATGTGAATTTATTATTATAACTTCTGTAAAAATCTCCGAATATAATACATTAATTGTCGATGAAATATATCAATTTAAATTTTAAAATTGTATTTGTTCGAGAAATGTTTATGTGATACATTCACCATAATACAAATAAATTCGTAAACAATTAAAATCGTAAAAAATGTGTTACATTATTATTTAAAAGTAGAATATTGTAAGAATTATTTGTTCTTGCGTCAGTCACGTGGCTTTTTGCGCAATACTATACTTATAAAATATCTTAGATACTTAGCA